AATCAATTGCTATAGGACAACTAACCCAGCTATGTCTCTGCATAGCTCTAACTTCTCCCTTATAACCACCTTTGTTAACATATCTGCTGGATTCTCATTTGTGTGAATCTTTACTAGTCTCAACAGCTGTTGATCCATCACCTCTCTTATCCAGTGATAGCGAATGTCAATGTGCTTTGTTCGAGAGTGATACATTGAGTTCTTACTCAAGTCAAGAGCACTCTGGCTGTCACAATGTACTTTATAATCTTTCTGCTTGATCCCTAATTCTTGGAGAAATCTCTTTAACCACAACATTTCTTTACCTGCTTCTGTCACTGCAATATATTCTGCTTCTGTTGTAGATAAAGCAACACACTTTTGTAGTCTTGACTGCCATGAAACAGCGCCCCCTGCAAAAGTGTAGAGAAATCCTGAAGTAGATTTTCTACTGTCAAGATCTCCCGCCATATCTAAATCTGTATAACCTTCCAAGATTGGATCAGCTCCCCCATAGCACAGACATATCTTTGATGTACCTCTGAGATACCTGAGAATCCACTTGACTGCCTCCCAATGTTCCTTTCCAGGATTAGAAAGAAAACGACTCACCGTGCCTACTGCATGGGCAATATCTGGCCTTGTACATACCATGGCATACATCAGGCTTCCAACTGCTGAAGAATAAGGTATCAATGACATTTCCTCTATCTCTTTCTTGGATGAGGGGCATGAACTTTTGCTCAACTTGAAGTGGTTTGCTAATGGAGTGTTGACAGGTTTGGCATTATGCATGTTGAATCTCTTGATCACTTGTTCAGCATACTTCTCTTGGGATAGCCACAACCTTCTATTCTTCCTATCTCGAGTTATGTGCATTCCCAAAATCTGCTGCACTGAGCCTAAGTCCTTCATGTCGAAGAACTTGGAGAGTTCCTTTTTCAGCTGCCTGATTTTTGTTGCATCTAGTCCGACGATCAGCATGTCGTCTACATACAATAGAAGAGCAACAAAATTGCCATCCGAAAAGTGTTGAATATAAACGCACTGATCCGCAGCTGTTCTTTTATAGCCTTGACTCACCATGAAAGAGTCAAACTTTTTGTACCATTGCCTAGGTGCTTGCTTAAGACCATATAAGCTCTTCTTTAGCTTACAAACAAAGTTTTCTTTCCCTGAAACTTCAAAACCTTCTGACTGCTCCATATAAATTTCTTCATATAAATCACCATGAAGAAATGCTGTTTTGACATCCATCTGTTCAAGCTCTAGATTCAGAT